TCTCTATCTCTCTGTCTCTGTCTCTCTCTTCTCTGTCTCGCTGTCTATGTCTTTGTCTCCGTTTCACTCTCTCTACCATCCTCTATAAATCAATAAAAAATAAATATTATAATTGCCACAAGCAGCTAGAAAATTCTCTTGGTTGTTTAAAAACTTGCAGTTGTTGGCTTGCGTGTGAGAAGGGGAAGCTTGTCCCTCAACTCCCTGTCTCTAGGATACCGAATGTGCGGACCTCAGTAAACCGATGAGAACGACGTTGTTGTAGTTCTCACTCATTTGTTCAGATTTTCCAAGGAATGTTTGGTTTGGTGTTTTTTTTTGGAATCATCATCGATCCCAACACATTCAGGTCAAAGAGCTTTGTTCACACACATGGTGCCAACTGGCTGACCTTGGGCCGAGAAAGGCTTACCTTCATTGAGTGCCCCAGGGGCATGAAACAGACTGCAGCAAACACGGCTTCCAGGACCCGCCTCGTCCTAATCCCAGGTGGAGAGTAGGTGGTCTCTTATAGGGGACGGGGACAACAGGCTTCTTATGACAACTCCGCCTGAGAAGTGGACACAAAGCACAGGTGCGTTTGAGTACTGTGCCAGGGCCCTCAGGTAACATCCCTTCCTCTTCGCTTTCCTAGATCTAGCATCTGATTGTCCCCTACTCCTGTCCCTGAGGCATGAGAGGGGGCGAGTGCACTTCCTGTGTGTGGTTGTGACTTCCTGGTTGTGTGTGTGACTTCCTTTGTGCAGGTGTGACTTCCTTTGTGCATGTGTGACTTCCTTTGTGCATGTGTGTCTTCCTATGTGCAGGTGTGACTTCCTGTGTGCAGGTGTGACTTCCTTTGTGCTTGTGTGACTTCCAGTGTGTAGGTGTGACTGCCTGCGGGAAGGTGGGTGGCAAATACAGATGTTTGTGTGGGTACAGGCCTTCTGATTAAAACTGAAGCCCTGTGGGGAGGCTGGTGTAGCTTATGGTTTGAGCTTTGACCTATGTTTTAAGAGGTCATAGTTCAATTGTTAAGGCTCATACCCAAGCTATGGCCTCAGAGAACAGTAGGGGCGTGAAGCAGGCAAACAATCAATGATATCGGTCTCTCTGTCTCTCTCTCTCTCTGTCTGTCTCTATCTCTATCTCTCTGTCTCTCTGTCTCTCTCTTTCTCTGTCTCGCTGTCTATGTCTTTGTCTCCGTTTCACTCTCTCTACCATCCTCTCTAAAATCAATAAAAAAATAAATATTATAATTGCCACAACCACCTAGAAAATTCTCTTGGTTGTTAAAAAACTTGCAGTTGTTGGCTTGCGTGTGAGAAGGGGAAGCTGTCCCTCACTCCTGTCTCTAGGATACCGAATGTGCTGGACCTCAGTAACCGATGAGAACGACGTTGTTGTAGTTCTCACTCATTTTGTTCAGATTTTCCAAGGAATGTTGGTTTGGTGTTTTTTTTTGGAATCATCATCGATCCCAACACATTCAGGTCAAAGAGCTTTGTTCACACACATGGTGCCAACTGGCTGACCTTGGGGCAGAGAAAGGCTTACCTTCATGAGTGCCCCAGGGGCATGAAACAGACTGCAGCAAACACGGCTTCCAGGACCCGCTTCGTCCTAATCCCACGTGGAGAGCAAGGTGGTCTCTTATAGGGACGGGGACAACAGGCTTCTTATGACAACTCCGCCTGAGAAGTGGACACAAACCACAGGTGCGTTTGAGTACTGTGCCAGGCCCTCAGGTAACATCCCTTCCTCTTCGCTTTCCTAGATCTAGCATCCGATTGTCCCCTACTCCTGTCCCTGAGGCATGAGAGGGGGCGAGTGCACTTCCTGTGTGTGGTGTGACTTCCTGTGGGTGGTGTGACTTCCTTCTTGTGCAGGTGTGACTCCTTTGTGCAGGTGTGACTCCTGTGTGCAGTGTGACTTCCTTGTGCAGTGGACTTCCTTTGTGCAGGTGTGACTTCCTGTGTGCAGGTGTGACTTCCTGTGTGCAGGTGTGACTTCCTTTGTGCATGTGTGACTTCCTGTGTGTAGGTGTGACTGCCTGCGGGAAGGTTGGTGGCAAATACAGATGTTTGTGTGGGTACAGGCCTTCTGATTAAAACTGAAGCCCTGTGGGGAGGCTGGTGTAGCTCAGGGCTTGAACTTTGACCTATGTTTTAAGAGGTCATAGTTCAATTCTTAAAGCTCATGCCAAGGCTATGGCCTCAGAGAACAGTAGGGGCGTGAAGCAGGCAAACAATCAATGATATCGGTCTCTCTGTCTCTCTCTCTCTCTGTCTCTCTCTGTCTCTGTCTGTCTCTATCTCTCTGTCTCTCTCTGTCTCTGTCTCTCTCTTTCTCTGTCTCGCTGTCTATGTCTCTGTCTTCGTGTCTCTCTCTCTACCATCCTCTCTAAAATCAATAAAAAAGTAAATATAATTGCCACAACCACCTAGAAAATTCTCTTGGTTGTTAAAAAACTTGCAGTTGTTGACTTGCGTGTGAGAAGGGGAAGCTGTCCCTCACTCCTGTCTCTAGTATACTCAACGTGCTGGACCTCAGTAACCGATGAGAACGACGATGTGGTTCTCACTCATTTTGTTCAGATTTTCCAAGGAATGTTGGTTTGGGTTTGTTGGTTTATTTTTTTTGATATCATCATCGATCCCAACACGTTCTGCTCAAAGAGCTTGGTTCATACAATGGTGCCAACTGTCTGACCTTGGGGCAGAGAAAGGCTTACCTTCATGAGTGCCCCAGGGGCATGAAACAGACTGCAGCAAACACGGCTTCCAGGACCCGACTCGTCCTAATCCCAGGTGGAGAGTAGGGTGGTCTCTTGTGGGGACGGAGACAACAGGCTTCCTATGACAACTCCGCCTGAGTAGTGGACACAAAGCACAGGTGCGTTTGAGTACTGTGCCAGGCCCTCAGGTAACATCCCTTCCTCTTCGCTTTCCTAGATCTAGCATCTGATTGTCCCCTACTCCTGTCCCTGAGGCATGAGAGGGGGCGAGTGCACTTCCTGTGTGTGGTGTGACTTCCTTTGTGCAGGTGTGACTTCCTTTGTGCATGTGTGACTTCCTGTGTGCAGGTGTGACTTCCTGTGTGCAGGTGTAACTTCCTTTGTGCATGTGTGACTTCCTGTGTGCAGGTGTGACTTCCTGTGTGCAGGTGTGACTTCCTTCGTGCATGTGTGACTTCCAGTGTGCAGGTGTGACTGCCTGCGGGAAGGTGGGTGGCAAATACAGATGTTTGTGTGGGTACAGGCCTTCTGATTAAAACTGAAGCCCTGTGGGGAGGCTGGTGTAGCTCAGGGTTTGAGCTTTGACCTATGTTTTAAGAGGTCATAGTTCAATTCTTAAGGCTCATGCCCAGACTATGGCCTCAGAGAACAGTAGGGGCGTGAAGCAGGCAAACAATCAATGATATCGGTCTCTCTGTCTCTCTCTCTCTGTCTGTCTCTTTCTCTCTGTCTCTCTGTCTCTCTCTTTCTCTGTCTCGCTGTCTATGTCTCTGTCTCCGTGTCACTCTCTCTACCATCCTCAATAAAATCAATAAAAAAATAAATATTATAATTACCAAAGCAGCTAGAAAATTCTCTTGGTTGTTGAAAAACTTGCAGTTGTTGGCTTGCGTGTGAGAAGGGGAAGCTGTCCCTCACTCCTGTCTCTAGGATACCGAATGTGCTGGACCTCAGTAACCGATGAGAACGACGTTGTTGTAGTTCTCACTCATTTTGTTCAGATTTTCCAAGGAATGTTGGTTTGGTGTTTTTTTTGGAATCATCATCGATCCCAACACATTCAGGTCAAAGAGCTTTGTTCACACACATGGTGCCAACTGGCTGACCTTGGGGCCGAGAAAGGCTTACCTTCATGAGTACCCCAGGGGCATGAGACAGACTGCAGCAAACACGGCTTCCAGGACCCGCCTCGTCCTAATCCCAGGTGGAGAGTAGGGTGGTCTCTTGTGGGGACGGGGACAACAGGCTTCCTATGACAACTCCGCCTGAGAAGTGGACACAAAGCACAGGTGCGTTTGAGTACTGTGCCAGGCCCTCAGGTAACATCCCTTCCTCTTCGCTTTCCTAGATCTAGCATCCGATTGTCCCCTACTCCTGTCCCTGAGGCATGAGAGGGGGCGAGTGCACTTCCTGTGTGTGGTGTGACTTCCTGTGTGTGGTGTGACTTCCTTTGTGCAGGTGTGACTTCCTTTGTGTATGTGTGACTTCCTTTGTGCATGTGTGACTTCCTGTGTGCAGGTGTGACTTCCTGTGTGTAGGTGTGACTTCCTTTGTGCATGTGTGACTTCCAGTGTGTAGGTGTGACTGCCTGCAGGAAGGTTGGTGGCAAATACAGATGTTTGTGTGGGTATAGGCCTTCTGATTAAAACTGAAGCCCTGTGGGGAGGCTGGTGTAGCTCATGGTTTGAGCTTTGACCTATGTTTTAAGAGGTCATAGTTCAATTCTTAAGGCTCATGCCCAGACTATGGCCTCAGAGAACAGTAGGGGCGTGAAGCAGGCAAACAATCAATGATATCGGTCTCTCTGTCTCTCTCTCTCTCTGTCTGTCTCTATCTCTATCTCTCTGTCTCTCTGTCTCTCTCTTTCTCTGTCTCGCTGTCTATGTCTTTGTCTCCGTTTCACTCTCTCTACCATCCTCTCTAAAATCAATAAAAAAATAAATATTATAATTGCCACAACCACCTAGAAAATTCTCTTGGTTGTTAAAAAACTTGCAGTTGTTGGCTTGCGTGTGAGAAGGGGAAGCTGTCCCTCACTCCTGTCTCTAGGATACCGAATGTGCTGGACCTCAGTAACCGATGAGAACGACGTTGTTGTAGTTCTCACTCATTTTGTTCAGATTTTCCAAGGAATGTTGGTTTGGTGTTTTTTTTTTGGAATCATCATCGATCCCAACACATTCAGGTCAAAGAGCTTTGTTCACACACATGGTGCCAACTGGCTGACCTTGGGGCCGAGAAAGGCTTACCTTCATGAGTGCCCCAGGGGCATGAAACAGACTGCAGCAAACACGGCTTCCAGGACCCGCCTCGTCCTAATCCCAGGTAGAGAGTAGGGTGGTCTCTTGTGGGGACGGGGACAACAGGCTTCCTATGACAACTCCGCCTGAGAAGTGGACACAAAGCACAGGTGCGTTTGAGTACTGTGCCAGGCCCTCAGGTAACATCCCTTCCTCTTCGCTTTCCTAGATCTAGCATCTGATTGTCCCTTCTCCTGTCCCTGAGGCATGAGAGGGGGCGAGTGCACTTCCTGTGTGTGGTGTGACTTCCTGTGTGTGGTGTGACTTCCTTTGTGCAGGTGTGACTTCCTTTGTGTATGTGTGACTTCCTTTGTGCATGTGTGACTTCCTGTGTGCAGGTGTGACTTCCTGTGTGTAGGTGTGACTTCCTTTGTGCATGTGTGACTTCCAGTGTGTAGGTGTGACTGCCTGCGGGAAGGTTGGTGGCAAATACAGATGTTTGTGTGGGTATAGGCCTTCTGATTAAAACTGAAGCCCTGTGGGGAGGCTGGTGTAGCTCAAGGTTTGAGCTTTGACCTATGTTTTAAGAGGTCATAGTTCAATTCTTAAGGCTCATGCCCAGACTATGGCCTCAGAGAACAGTAGGGGCGTGAAGCAGGCAAACAATCAATGATATCGGTCTCTCTGTCTCTCTCTCTCTCTGTCTGTCTCTATCTCTCTGTCTCTCTGTCTCTCTCTTTCTCTCTCTCGCTGTCTATGTCTCTGTCTCCGTGTCACTCTCTCTACCATCCTCAATAAAATCAATAAAAAAATAAATATTATAATTGCCACAAGCAGCTAGAAAATTCACTTGGTTGTTAAAAAACTTGCAGTTGTTGGCTTGCGTGTGAGAAGGGGAAGCTGTCCCTCACTCCTGTCTCTAGGATACCGAATGTGCTGGACCTCAGTAACCGATGAGAACGACGTTGTTGTAGTTCTCACTCATTTTGTTCAGATTTTCCAAGGAATGTTGGTTTGGTGTTTTTTTTTGGAATCATCATCGATCCCAACACATTCAGGTCAAAGAGCTTTGTTCACACACATGGTGCCAACTGGCTGACCTTGGGGCAGAGAAAGGCTTACCTTCATGAGTGCCCCAGGGGCATGAAACAGACTGCAGCAAACACGGCTCCAGGACCCGCCTCGTCCTATTCCCAGGTGGAGAGTTGGGTGGTCTCTTGTGGGGACGGGGACAACAGGCTTCCTATGACAACTCCGCCTGAGAAGTGGACACAAAGCACAGGTGCGTTTGAGTACTGTGCCAGGCCCTCAGGTAACATCCCTTCCTCTTCGCTTTCCTAGATCTAGCATCTGATTGTCCCCTACTCCTGTCCCTGAGGCATGAGAGGGGGCGAGTGCACTTCCTGTGTCAGGTGTGACTTCCTGTGTGTGGTGTGACTTCCTTTGTGCAGGTGTGACTTCCTTTGTGCATGTGTGACTTCCTTTGTGCATGTGTGTCTTCCTATGTGCAGGTGTGACTTCCTGTGTGCAGGTGTGACTTCCTTTGTGCATGTGTGACATCCTGTGTGCAGGTGTGACTTCCTGTGTGCAGGTGTGACTTCCTGTGTGCAGGTGTGACTTCCTTTGTGCATGTGTGACTTCCTGTGTGTAGGTGTGACTGCCTGCGGGAAGGTGGGTGGCAAATACAGATGATTGTGTGGGTACAGGCCTTCTGATTAAAACTGAAGCCCTGTGGGGAGGCTGGTGTAGCTCAGGGTTTGAGCTCTGACCTATGTTTTAAGAGGTCATAGTTCAATTCTTAAGGTTCATGCCCAGGCTATGGCCTCAGAGGACAGTAGGGGCGTGCAGCAGGCAACAATCAATGATATCGGTCTCTCTGTCTCTCTCTCTCTCTGTCTGTCTCTATCTCTCTGTCTCTCTCTGTCTCTCTCTTTCTCTGTCTCGCTGTCTATGTCTCTGTCTCCGTGTCTCTCTCTCTACCATCCTCTCTAAAATCAATAAAAAAATAAATATTATAATTGCCACAACTACCTAGAAAATTCTCTTGGTTGTTAAAAAACTTGCAGTTGTTGGCTTGCGTGTGAGAAGGGGAAGCTGTCCCTCACTCCTGTCTCTAGGATACCGAATGTGCTGGACCTCAGTAACCGATGAAAACGACGTTGTTGTAGTTCTCACTCATTTTGTTCAGATTTTCCAAGGAATGTTGGTTTGGTGTTTTTTTTGGAATCATCATCGATCCCAACACATTCAGGTCAAAGAGCTTTGTTCACACACATGGTGCCAACTGGCTGACCTTGGGGCCGAGAAAGGCTTACCTTCATGAGTGCCGCAGGGGCATGAAACAGACTGCAGCAAACACGGCTTCCAGGATCCGCCTCGTCCTAATCCCAGGTGCAGAGTAGGGTGGTCCCTTGTAGGGACGGGGACAACAGGCTTCTTATGACACCTCCTCCTGAGAAGTGGACACAAAGCACAGGTGCGTTTGAGTATTGTGCCAGGCCCTCAGGTAACATCCCTTCCTCTTCGCTTTCCTAGATCTAGCATCCGATTGTCCCCTACTCCTGTCCCTGAGGCATGAGTGAGGGCGAGTGCACTTCCTGTGTGTGGTGTGACTTCCTGTGTGTGGTGTGACTTCCTTTGTGCATGTGTGTCTTCCTGTGTGCAGGTGTGACTTCCTGTGTGCAGGTGTGACTTCCTTTGTGCATGTGTGACTTCCAGTGCGTAGGTGTGACTGCCTGCGGGAAGGTGGGTGGCAAATACAGATGTTTGTGTGGGTACAGGCCTTCTGATTAAAACTGAAGCCCTGTGGGGAGGCTGGTGTAGCTCAGGGTTTGAGCTTTGACCTATGTTTTAAGAGGTCATAGTTCAATTCTTAAGGCTCATGCCCAGACTATGGCCTCAGAGAACAGTAGGGGCGTGAAGCAGGCAAACAATCAATGATATCGGTCTCTCTGTCTCTCTCTCTCTCTGTCTGTCTCTATCTCTATCTCTCTGTCTCTCTGTCTCTCTCTTTCTCTGTCTCGCTGTCTATGTCTTTGTCTCCGTTTCACTCTCTCTACCATCCTCTCTAAAATCAATAAAAAAATAAATATTATAATTGCCACAACCACCTAGAAAATTCTCTTGGTTGTTAAAAAACTTGCAGTTGTTGGCTTGCGTGTGAGAAGGGGAAGCTGTCCCTCACTCCTGTCTCTAGGATACCGAATGTGCTGGACCTCAGTAACCGATGAGAACGACGTTGTTGTAGTTCTCACTCATTTTGTTCAGATTTTCCAAGGAATGTTGGTTTGGAGTTTTTTTTTGGAATCATCATCGATCCCAACACATTCAGGTCAAAGAGCTTTGTTCACACACATGGTGCCAACTGGCTGACCTTGGGGCCGAGAAAGGCTTACCTTCATGAGTGCCCCAGGGGCATGAAACAGACTGCAGCAAACACGGCTTCCAGGACCCGCTTCGTCCTAATCCCACGTGGAGAGCAAGGTGGTCTCTTATAGGGGCGGGGACAACAGGCTTCTTATGACAACTCCGCCTGAGAAGTGGACACAAACCACAGGTGCGTTTGAGTACTGTGCCAGGCCCTCAGGTAACATCCCTTCCTCTTCGCTTTCCTAGATCTAGCATCCGATAGTCCCCTACTCCTGTCCCTGAGGCATGAGAGGGGGCGAGTGCACTTCCTGTGTGTGGTGTGACTTCCTGTGTGTGGTGTGACTTCCTTTGTGCAGGTGTGACTTCCTTTGTGCATGTGTGACTTCCTGTGTGCAGGTGTGACTTCCTGTGTGCAGGTGTGACTTCCTGTGTGCAGGTGTGACTTCCTTTGTGCATGTGTGACTTCGTGTGTGTAGGTGTGACTGCCTGAGGGAAGGTGGGTGGCAAATACAGATGATTGTGTGGGTACAGGCCTTCTGATTAAAACTGAAGCCCTGTGGGTAGGCTGGTGTAGCTCAGGGTTTGAGCTCTGACCTATGTTTTAAGAGGTCATAGTTCAATTCTTAAGGTTCATGCCCAGGCTATGGCCTCAGAGGACAGTAGGGGCGTGAAGCAGGCAAACAATCAATGATATCGGTCTCTCTGTCTCTCTCTCTCTCTGTCTGTCTCTATCTCTCTGTCTCTCTCTGTCTCTCTGTCTCTCTTTTTCTCTGTCTCGCTGTCTATGTCTCTGTCTCCGTGTCTCTCTCTCTACCATCCTCTCTAAAATCAATAAAAAAATAAATGTTATAATTGCCACAACCACCTAGAAAATTCTCTTGGTTGTTAAAAAACTTGCAGTTGTTGGCTTGCGTGTGAGAAGGGGAAGCTGTCCCTCACTCCTGTCTCTAGGATACCGAATGTGCTGGACCTCAGTAACCGATGAGAACGACGTTGTTGTAGTTCTCACTCATTTTGTTCAGATTTTCCAAGGAATGTTGGTTTGGTGTTTTTTTTTGGAATCATCATCGATCCCAACACATTCAGGTCAAAGAGCTTTGTTCACACACATGGTGCCAACTGGCTGACCTTGGGGCCGAGAAAGGCTTACCTTCATGAGTGCCCCAGGGGCATGAAACAGACTGCAGCAAACACGGCTTCCAGGACCCGCCTCGTCCTAATCCCAGGTGGAGAGTAGGGTGGTCTTTTGTGGGGACGGGGACAACAGGCTTCCTATGACAACTCCGCCTGAGAAGTGGACACAAAGCACAGGTGCGTTTGAGTACTGTGCCAGGCCCTCAGGTAACATCCCTTCCTCTTCGCTTTCCTAGATCTAGCATCTGATTGTCCCCTACTCCTGTCCCTGAGGCATGAGAGGGGGCGTGTGCACTTCCTGTGTGTGGTGTGACTTCCTGTGTGTGGTGTGACTTCCTTTGTGCAGGTGTGACTTCCTTTGTGCATGTGTGACTTCCTGTGTGCAGGTGTGACTTCCTGTGTGCAGGTGTGACTTCCTTTGTGCAGGTGTGACTTCCTGTGTGTAGGTGTGACTGCCTGCGGGAAGGTGCGTTGCAAATACAGATGTTTGTGTGGGTATAGGTCTTCTGATTAAAACTGAAGCCCTGTGGGAGGCTGGTGTAGCTCAGGGTTTGAGCTTTGACCTATGTTTTAAGAGGTCATAGTTCAATTGTTAAGGCTCATGCCCAGGCTATGTCTTCAGAGAACAGTAGGGTCGTGAAGGAGGCCAACAATCAATGATATCGGTCTCTCTGTCTCTCTCTCTCTGTCTCTCTCTGTCTCTGTCTGTCTCTATCTCTCTGTCTCTCTCTTTCTCTCTGTCTCTCTCTTTCTCTGTCTCGCTGTCTATGTCTCTGTCTCCGTGTCTCTCTCTCTACCATCCTCTCTAAAATCAATAAAAAAATAAATATTATAATTGCCACAAGCACCTAGAAAATTCTCTTTGTTGTTAAAAAACTTGCAGTTGTTGGCTTGCGTGTGAGAAGGGGAAGCTGTCCCTCACTCCTGTCTCTAGGATACCGAATGTGCTGGACCTCAGTAACCGAATGAGAACGATGTTGTTGTAGTTCTCACTCATTTTGTTCAGATTTTCCAAGGAATGTTGGTTTGGTGTTTTTTTTTTGGAATCATCATCGATCCCAACACATTCAGGTCAAAGAGCTTTGTTCACACACATGGTGCCAACTGGCTGACCTTGGGGCCGAGAAAGGCTTACCTTCATGAGTGCCTCAGGGGCATGAAACAGACTGCAGCAAACACGGCTTCCTGGACCCGCCTCGTCCTAATCCCAGGTGGAGAGTAGGGTGGTCTCTTGTAGGGACGGGGACAACAGGCTTCTTATGACAACTCCGCCTGAGAAGTGGACACAAAGCACAGGTGCGTTTGAGTACTGTGCCAGGCCCTCAGGTAACATCCCTTCCTCTTCGCTTTCCTAGATCTAGCATCCGATTGTCCCCTACTCCTGTCCCTGAGGCATGAGAGGGGACAAGTGCACTTCCTGTGTGTGGTGTGACTTCCTTTGTGCAGGTGTCACTTCCTGTGTGTAGGTTTGACTTCCTTTGTGCATGTGTGACTTCCTGTGTGTAGGTGTGACTGGCTGCGGGAAGGTGGGTGGCAAATATAGATGTTTGTGTGGGTACAGGCCTTCTGATTAAAACTGAAGCCCTGTGGGGAGGCTGGTGTAGCTCAGGGTTTGAGGTTTGACCTATGTTTTAAGAGGTCATAGTTCAATTCTTAAGGCTCATGCCTAGGCTATGGCCTCAGAGGCCTGTAGAGGCGTAAAGCATGCAAACAATCAATGTTTCTCTCTCATGATTGTTTTCTCTCTCTCTCTGTCTCCATCTCTCTCTTTCCTCTTTGAAATGTATGAAAAAAAAATTTATTACGATTGCCACCACCACCAAGAAAATTCTCTTGGATGTTCAAAATCTGGGAGTTGTTGGCTTGCATGTGAGAAGGGGAAGCTGTACCTCACTCCTATTTCTAGGATACTGAACGTGCTGGACCTCAGTAACCGATGGGAACGACGTTGTAGTAGTTCTCACTCATTTTGTTCAGATTTTCCAAGGAATGTTGGTTTGGTTTTGTTGGTTTATTTTTTTTGATATCATCATCGATCCCAACACGTTCTGCTCAAAGAGCTTGGTTCAGACACTTGGTGCCAACTGGCTGACTTTGGGGCAGAGAAAGGCTTACCTTCATGAGTGCTCCAGGGGCATGAAACAGACTGCAGCAAACACGGCTTCCAGAACCCTCCACGTCCGACCCCCAGGTGGAGAGCAAGGTGATCTCTTGTACGGACAGGGACAACAGACTTCTTATGACAACTCCGCCTGAGAAGTGGACACAAACCACAGGTGCGTTTGAGTACTGTGCCAGGCCCTCAGCTAACATCCCTTCCTCTTCGCTTTCCTAGATCTAGCATCCGATTGTCACCTACTGCTGTCCCTGAGGCATGAGAGAGCTTAAGTGACTTCCTGTGTGGTGTGACTTCCTGTGTGTGTTGTGACTTCCTGTGTGCAGGTGTGACTTCCTGTGGGAAGGTGGTTTGCAAATATGGATGCGTGTGGGGTATAGGCCTTCTGATTGAAAACTGAAGGCCAGTGGGGAGGCAGGTGTGGCTCATGGTTTCAGCTTGAGCTATGCTCTAATTTAGGGGTGTCGAACTCAATCAGAGAAGGGGCCAAAATCTAAAATCCAGCCTAAATCCCGGGCCGAATGGTTTAGTGAACAGTCAAACTGTCATTGTGATGGAAACGCAGCGGATTGCAGTGATGACAGTGCGGTGTGGGCCACATTGCAAGGCCTGGCGGGACGGATTTGGCCCGAGGGCCTTGTTTTTGACACATGTGCTCTAATTAGTCATGGTTCAATTCTTAAGATGCATGCCCAGGCTAAGGTGTCAGAGGCAAAAAGTCATTTATTCTCCCTCTCTCTCTCTCTCTCTCTCTCTCTCTCTCTCTCTCTCTCTCTCTCTCTCTCCTTTCCTCTGTGACATTAATTAAAAACAAATATTAGTTACAATTGCCACTACTAGCAAGAATATTCTCTCAGTTGTTTAAAAACTTGCAGTTGTTGGCTTGCGTGTGAGAATGGGAAGCTGTCCCTCACTCCTGTTCCTAGGATACTGAACGTGCTGTAGCTCAGTTACCGATGAGAACGAGAAGGGTATAGTTCTCACTCATTTTGTTCAGTTTTTCAAGGAATTTTTTTTTTTTTTTTTAGGGAGTTATCATTGATCCCAACACGTGCTATGAAGCCAGATGTCTATGTGTGGCAGCCTTGGCAGTTCACCTACTGAATCAATGATCTCAGGGTCTGATAGCATGAGGGACACTTCATCCACTCCTGAAGCTCAACCCCACAGGCCACTGTGGACATGTGGAGAGGCTGCCTCTAGAACGTCGATGAGTTCCCCACGCCAATGGCAGAGTGTGGGAGAGGAATGCTTACCGTCCTCAGCAATCCACGGCCAGGTGGCACCCCCAGGACTCAGCTTCCAGGACTCTTGCATGCTTCCCGTCATCAAAGCAAATTAAGGTTGGACTCTTCACGGCTGGTGGGGAGCCTTGGGAAGCCACTGCACCTGGCACTGGCATAGAAATGGCAGGCGTAGTTGAGAAAGGTACCCAGATGTTCAAGTAGCCGTGGATGAGAGAAACAAGAGTAGGTCTGTTCCTCACGTATTCAAATCGAGCCTCGGTGACAAAACCTTCTGCCTCAAAGGGCCAAGGAATAGACAGACTTGTGTGCTTCCTGATGGATGTTGCAATGTCAGCAACAAATGATGATTAATGAGTAAACCTGTAAAATGTCATGGTCTCTCTACTGGATGCACACACACGACTCCTCTTTGTGAGGCCACCACAATATGGAATATTGGACTTTTTAAATAAACATTTCAAGGGGAAAATGAAAGGCTTTGTGGTTTTCATTTAAAATCTTTGGGTCCTTAGAAAGATCTCATAAATTTAACATACATTTTTCCACATCCAAAGAAGCAATGCAAATCCAATAAATTCAATTTAAACATAAAATAATTGCCCTAGCTGGTTTGCCTCAGTGCATAGAGCATCAGCCTGCAGAGTGAAGGGTCCTGGGTTCGATTCCCATCAAGGGCACATGCCAGAGTTGCAGGGTCAATCCCCAGTAGGGGGTGTGCAGGAGGCAGCCGATCCATGATTCTTTCTCATCAATGATATTTCCATCTCTCCCTCACTCACCCTTCCCCTCCAAAATCAATAAAAATATATTCAGCCAAAATTATTTTGGCTCAGTGGATAGAGCGTCGGCCTGTGGACTGAAAGGTCCCGGGTTTGATTCCGGTCAGGGGCATGTACCTTGGTTGCAGGCACATCCCCAGTGGGGAAGGTGCAAGAGGCAGCTGGTCGATGTTTCTCTCTCATCGACGTTTCTAGCTCTCTCCCTCTCCCTTCCTCTCTGTAAAAAATCAATAAAATATATTTAAAAAAAAAAAAAAAGATGCACACACACCTGAGGACATGGCCTGGAGTACGTGACGGCGTCTCCCAGGATCCTGGTACCCTCCCCACTTCCATTGGCTGAAGTGGAGGGCCTCCCCCAGCCCATCGGAATGCAAAAAACAAACAAACAAAAAATATAATCTCGGAAAATACTCAGCGGTCAAAACAACAAGCACTGACATGTATGCCACTGCCAGAAAGTAGCACGTGCTTGGCTGGGCTTCTTCCTTCCCCCCACACTGAGGAGATGTTCAGTGACCACACAATGAGTGAAGAGCAGGAGATGGGCAGTGGACACCCTAACAGCAGATGTTAAGAGAGAGATTTCTGCCCAAACCAGTTTGGCTCAGTGAATAGAGCGTCGGTCTGCGGACTGAAAGGTCCCAGGTTCGATTCCGGTCAAGGGCATGTACATTGGTTGCTGGCACATCCCCAGTGGGAGGTGTGCAGGAGGCACCTGGTCGATGTTTCTCTCTCATCGATGTTTCTAGCTTTCTATCCCTCTCCCTTCCTCTCTGTAAAAAAATCAATAATATATATATTTAAAAAAAAAAAAAAAGAAATTTCTATTGAACAAAGGAAAGAGTCAAGAACGAAGGTCCTGCCAGGCTGGTGTGGCTCTGTTGGTTGAGCCAAGAGGTCACCCATGAACCAAGAGCTTTTGGGCTCCATCCCAAGTAGGGGGCATGCAGGAGGCAGCCAACCGATGTTTCTCTCTTCCTCTCCGTTCCTTCCTTTCTCTCTGCCATCAATAAAAGCAAAATGGTGTTCCATCTTCGGATGGTTCCTAATGGAAGCTTTATTAACAAAGGTTGATTGTCAGTATCCTGCCATGGTGCTGACTAGTTTTCTGTTGTTAAGAACTTGACTTTTGACCCAATTTATCCATTCAATATTCCTACGTTCGTTTAACAACAGTATAAGTATCTCACCATCATCCATCGGCTGCCTCATCCCCTGAAAGAGGGTCATCATCACAATGGCTCTCTCCGGTTCTTCTCTTCCTCCTCCCGCTTTCTCTAGACGAGACACAGAGTTCCTCCTGTCGTCCATGTCCCTCAGAGCAACAGGAAATAAAAAGAAGTTAGGGACAGCCCCTTCCCCACTTTCATAAACCAGTCAACTATCTCAAGATACGTGAGTCCTCGGCGGGTGACACTTACCTCTTAATTCTGCTGGTTATCCTCTGCGCCCACGATTCGGCTGCTGGATCAGGCGTTGTCCCCATTCATTGTCCTTGTAAGACACAAGGAGTGATGTTCAGGAAAGTGCTGGCATGAATACACAGAACTGGGCAAGGGGGCTGGGGGAATGAATATAATTATGGGAAACTTACACGAAGCCGGCAGGGAATCCAGACTGTGTGGTCATCAAGCACAACTGGAGAAATATTCCAACAGATGATGATGTTGAAGCTGGCGTGGAGGGGTGGGGGTTGCGTCTTCGCTCGGAGATCCTGGACGGCTCCCCCGCCCCCCGCCCGCCCCGGCTTTCTGCAGCAGTGGCCTTGGCATTGCTCATCACCCTGTCTGTTTCCGAAGTTGGTGGTCTTCCAGTTAGTGATACTCCTCTTATTGGCCATTTCTCCTGGGCTTTGACCTGTGTCCCCATGGCACCCAGGGCCCTTTGGCCTGTTCTCCTGAGCCACCCAGCGGCTTACCTTCTAAGCACTGCCCTGCCCCCAAGCTCTAAGTCTAAGAGGTCATTCGTTCTTTGTAGCTCGACGCCACGGAACTTGCCACAAATCAGCGCCCTGTTCCTACCTTTCTCCCATTCCTGCCACATCTCATTCCTTACAGCTCTTCACCTGAGGGACTGCACTTGAGAGAGTTCTCATGGGTCTGACCCTAAAGGCCAAGGGAGAATGAACACGACCTCGGAAATGTGCACGTTTCCCCAAAGCGTGGTTTCATGCCATCGTTTTAGCAAAATAGTGGTGTTCTTCATGATCACCTGCCAGAAGTAGTGATGTTGTAGTGAACTGTGAATTAACAGGATGAAGTATATCGTCCCACGTAACTTTTATTTTGTTTTTTAAAGGGATAATGGTTATTGTTAGTATTCAATGAGGTAACCCGTGAAATAGCGTTTATCTCAGCCTGTGGTACATCTACTAAGAACTCAACTAAGTGCTATCTATATAACTGAAATACATATATTTGAAATGGCACAAAAACACTCCCACAAGTAAAACAATAAAAAAAAAAAATGAACAGAACTCAAACGACCACCATTTTTTGACTATTCTTCCTATGAAGTTAAGTTTATTGACCATATCCGAAGAAGCGCATACATAATATCATTTCACACAAACAAAATCACAATATTGAAGCCTGATACAGAGTAACTCAATCACCGGTGGGAAAATAAACGTTAGGGAAATAATAACCACCTGGATTTTCGTATAATTACTTAGAACACATATTACTATTAAGTAACTGAATACAGGCCAATTGGATAAATGAGTTATCACTAGGTCACCAAGCATGGCAACTGGATTAAACAGGTTACTCACAAGTTCACAAGTATTACAACTAAGGTTGCAGGGAGTACCCTTGAGTTTACACACATTTTTTGAACAATACCTATTACATTCTATAGGTAAATTTCTAAGACTAAAGAGTGTGAGTCAAAATGTGCTAATTTCCATCCAATACCTAGTTCCCATGGTAACATACCAGGAGTCCAAATTTCTCCACTTAATCTAATAGGTGAAAAAAGACTACCAATGGTAGATTTGTTTCATTGTGTGTGTGTGTATCTGTGTGTGTGTGTGTGTATCTATTTATAATTATTATTCGATATCTGTAATTATTTCATCAAGGTGGATGTGGTTGGGCATTGTTTTATATGCTCTTGGCCATTCACAATACCTTTTCTTTTAGGAGTTGATCCCTTATGGGCTTGGCTGCACTGATACCGGGATGCTTGCCTTTTTTTTAGAATTAACTTGGGGTAGTTTTTCATAAAAGATTAACCCTAACTTGGTCATATATGTTTCAAGGAACCATACAGCTATAGTTTAATTGACTGTCAAATAAGAAGCCCCATTTCATTTTAAGTTGAGCAGGTTGTTGATTCTTTTTCTCTCCCCGGAACCCTCCAAAGCAGACAACAAACAAACAAGAGGCAACTTGGAAAAACAGAGCTTCCTTGGGCTCAAGATGGCACCCATCCATCAGCTACGTTCCAAGAGCAGGCTATGGGGCAGGCCCATGACCCTTGGGACCGTTTCTCTTTGGTCTGCACACAGGTGGTGACTGGGAATCTCCCCTGGGAACAACTGAGGAGCCTCGACACACCCACGGAGAACAAAAGGCTTGGATCATCACCAACGGTGGAGAGATAACCAGGAACTTGGGACAGGGCTGATGGCCAAGGCTCCTCTCTCCTACATCAGACCATTCATTCTGTCAAGACTGGGAGGGTGGCTTCCTTACCTAACCCACAGAAACAACACAAGAGACGAGAGGGACATTAAGAAACCAACGACTGTGTGTTCCAAACTAAAGGACATCCTCCGGGCACCCATCTTAATAAGATGGCGGGAAGGGGCTTCTCTGGTTAAGAGTCTAAAGTAAGATTCCTAACCTGGTGAGAGTTGGAAAGTGAAATTCATGAAGAGGCTCACTGAGGTCAGAAGAGCAATGCAGAGACACAACGGGAGTGGCCCAAGGGCAAGAGAAGTTTTTAAGTATCAGACAGAAATCCCAGTACTGAAGAACACATCGACTACACTGGGATGTTCGAGAGAGGGGTTAACAGCAGAGTGGATGGCGTGGAAGAGAGCGCAGACGAAAGACAGGGCCGTGGAATTCATCCCATAGGAGAGGCCAAAAGAAGAAAGAAAGAAAAAAATGGAATGAAAAGTGAAGAGAGCCTAAGGGATTTTATGGGATCATGGACATGGAACAGTAGTCCAGGAGGAAAGAGACACAGAAAGGGGCATTAGGGCTATTTACACTAATATTGGCTACAGACCACAACTCATATAAAAAATAGGCATTCCCATTCAGGAATCCCAAAGGCACTGAGAAAGGGGACTCCAAAGAGACCCCAACACCAAGACACATTACAATTAATTAGTCACAAGCGAAAGCGTAGCAGAGAATCTTAAAAGCAGCCAAGAGAAAGCAACTTATTAAGACCAGCAGCACGATTTTCAGCAAAAAGCATTGCAGAAAAGGAAGGCAGCGGGATGATGCAAACAAAGTGCTGAAAGAAAACACTGCCAACCAAGATCACTCTAAGCCCACAAAGTCAATTTTCATAATTAAAAGAGAGGGAACAGCTAATGGA